ATGTGGACCTCTCTCAGATTTGTTCATTTTGTAATGATATCTTTAATTCTCTAATTTTGGTGAATATTTTTGTCATTTTTGGTAAAAAGTGATATTTTCGACTTCTTGTTGAAAACCGCAAGTCCAATTGCTTTGATATTACATATATAGGTACTACATGTGGACCTCTCTCAGATTTGTTCATTTCATAATGATATCTTTAATTCTCTAATTTTGATGAATATTTTTGTAATTTTTGGTAAAAAGTGATATTTTCGACTTCTTGTTGAAAACCGCAAGTCCAATTGCTTTGATATATTATACATATAGGTACTACATGTGGACCACTCTCAGATTTGTTCATTTTGTAATGATATCTTTAATTCTCTAATTTTGGTGAATATTTTTGTCATTTTTGGTAAAAAGTGATATTTTCGACTTCTTGTTGAAAACCGCAAGTCCAATTGCTTTGATATATTATACATATAGGTACTACATGTGGACCTCTCTCAGATTTGTTCATTTTCTAATGATATCTTCTGTTCTTTAATTGCCATGTGCATTGCTAACAGCGGAGCTATCTCAGCCGACAGGCTGCTTGTTTACCTCAAAGCTGACCAAAAATTCATTTTCCAGTTATTATCGTATATTTATCATATTGCATTTACTCATTTGGGACCACAGTTTCAAGTTAATTTTTGCTCAGTATTAACCTTCACACCATCAGACTCTCTCGCCCTCATTTTTATTTATATTTCTGGAAAAAAACCATAATTTTGGAGCCAACAGAAAACATTTGGGTCAATAATCAGTTTTTACTCAAAAAAGTTGACTATTTTTGGCTTCTGGAGGATAGTGCAGACTATAAATGAAGACAAACACTTCTCATGCTCCCTTAAGCATTTAGTAGTAAAACTCGCTAAAATTGTTCTGTTTCTCTAACAGCATCCGATGAAACGAAGAAGAAGATGTATGGTACAATCCTTGTGATTGGTGGTGGATTACAGTTTCAAGGTGCCCAGGAAATGCTTCATAGAAAGATACTAAAAGGAATACCAGAAAAGTTTCGAAGTCAAGTAGAATCAGTTGATGTTATATGTAAAGCAAAGGTTAGTTACATTTACGATGGAAGTTCATTTGATTTATTTGGATTCCATGTAACTTGACAACAACATCCAATTAAAACAACGCGTAAAATCATTTGCAAGTCAGCTAACTTTGGCATCTACATGTTGTGAAAATTTGCAAATATCTAGACCAAAAATCAAGTTAGACTATAGCAACTCATTGACCTCATAATTTCATTTGACATGTCATGATCGTCTATTATTATTTTTTGTATGCCCCCTTGCGCTAGTAGCTGGACTTCCAACTTTCCACATTTTCTGCAACATGCTTATTAAAATGCTCCAACTTTATCGCTAGGAACTGGACTCCAAAATGACATGCTGGAAAGGTGGCGCTGTTTTGTGTTGCCTGGATACAAGCCAAGAGCTTTGGATCAGGCAGAGGGAGTGGCAACATTATGGCCTGAAAGTACTGAGAGAAAGATCACCATTTGTGTGGTGAAAAAAATAAGACATTGGAGGGCATGCTTGATTCCAAATGTGATGTACACATTGATGATCTTAGGATCTGACTGAAAGCTGATCACTAGATATAAAGAGTACATGGCCATTACATACTGAAGTGATGAAGACAACTTCCTGCATTGCACACCACTAGTACTCATTCACATATTGTCAACTGGATGGTAGCTGGGACATTTCCACGCCTTATTTAAATACTGTGGTGAAAACAAGAACTTGGGCTACAGAAACTAAACTTAACTTACAGGAAGAAAACAAAGAAAGTCTGGTTAAAGCATTACATGCTAAGTGTAATGTCAGATATTCTGGCAAAAACAGGACTTAAAGCAAACAATAGCAGTGATTTGTTTTTAAATATAACCAAATCTTACCGAAATACTGTTTTAGAAACAATTGCATGAGCAAAGTGACCCTACACAAGGGCCAGTAGTTGGAAATGGTCACATGATCACACTACAGTGAGAGACCATCTTGACTTGTTTGACATTTCGCCCAGGACACTATTTGTATTTCAGGGGCAAAAACCGGTCTTTGTGGCTTTCTCAATGACATACTAAATTGTCTAGTCGGTACAAGCACCACTCGCCACACTAATAATTTCAATGTCAAATTTTATTATTTTACAGAATAAAAGAAATAAACAAGTTATTTTGATTAAATGTATGGCAATAGTTTTTATTTTAAAATAGTTTCAAAAATGAAAATACTGCTAGATTATACAATAGTCATGAACTTCAGTTTCATACGACAAATCGATAATCTGAATTATAATAACTGACAGCAACACAAATATAGCATACGTTATTTGACAACATCAGGCTGTATGGCATGCACTGTGTTAATTCCTTATTATGCAAAATTATCTTGTCCCTCAAAAATCTACAAAACAGAAAATGTGTGATTGCGAAATCTACAACTTCAGAATATAGTACATTTACTCCACTAGTATGGCTACGGTCATAATTACAGTATCAGTATGCAATTGTTAGAGTGCATGTGCTTTTATTGGAGATGAATTTCTAACAGCAAGTTGGAAAACTTTGCATCCAGTAAAAAGGTAAGCTAGACAGTAGTTTCTACATGTAAATGTGTCTTAAGTAGCAGTACCAATGGAGTCTACGTTGGGTGCCTGAATAGCAGTACCAATGGAGTCTACGTTGGGTGCCTGAATAGCAGTACCAATGGAGTCTACGTTGGGTGCCTGAAACACAAACTATGCTTCACCATTTGAATTGAAGCTTGTTAAACATTACCGGTATAGATTAGTATTATTGCATGTCTTTATATCCACTTTTGGTATCTAATATTACAGTGTAACTGTTATACATGATATTGACTTAAAAAGAATTTAAATATTGTAAATTTGAAAATATGCCACTACAATTAGGTGATATCACAAAACAGTACTTTTTCTTCAAGATTTTTTTTGTTTACATTTTTTTCCCCCCCATCTATGATATGACTTGACTGTAGCAGCAGTAGATACATGTCACTATACATCGGTATATCTAGTCCCACTGTTAAGCGGTTTATCCAGGTACACGTCATAACCAGTGCGTCACAAACACTGCAGTGACAAGCGTTGAGTTCCCTGCCATCTTATGGGATATGGTCGTGCTTTCATGGCATCACGATTGAGTCCTATATATAATTATTTTAATGTTTGTGAAATGCTTTCCATTCAGAGATGTAAATTAACAATATCCACTTGATGAATTCCCGATGGCAGAGTCCTTCAGCCTGCATTAGAAATGCAGGCATTTACCTAGTAGTAAAAGAAAACAATGTTAATATTACACAGTAGGTGTGATAGTGTATGAGGATGAATATTCACATGGTTTAATTTTATCAGATTTGATGTTGCAGGGATATTCACAGTTAAACATGTATTTTATTGTTGTGGTAATGAACAATCTCAACACAAAAAAAATGATAATTTAAATGAGCTTGTGAGCATTTGTGTACCCACTAATCATCAAATCTAATTCTCACCTTCCTCATCCACCTCCAGCTGGTGGGGGTGGGTTTGGTCCTCCTCCACCGCCTCTAAAACCTCCCATTCTCCTCCTTGGTGGTCGTGGCGGTCTACAACAGTGAAGAAATCAATAACATGATATTTAGCTGACGTCAGTTACTAATCCTTCTATCCCTCACAATTAATGGAATAGCCCATCACAGGTCTGAGTGTCTTTGTTAATTGATTCACTTGTACTGTTGTCTTTTTTAACCTGTGTTACCACTGCTGTTCAATATAAATACCAGTGCACGCAATAATCATGATAAAAAAATACATATGATGTTTATAGACAAGTGTGGGCCATATGGTAGCAAAAATTCAACTACATTTTGTATAACATTATGATAAATAAATGCAATGACGTATATGAAATTTGGTTAAAAACGTACCCCCATTTATCGCTGCCAGAACGATAATCAGATGTATATCCAGACCCTTTCTTTGTTAGACCAGGCTGAAAAAGAATAATCATCCATTATTATTTTGTATTTCACGCTTCTTTGGCATTAAAAAATGAAAATAAATATACAATTACTAGTACAGATATGATTAACACAACATTATTGTTACTGTAAACAGTTATTCGCCAGGTTTTAATTTCGCTATTTTCACTGACAAGTAAAATCTGCTAAATTAAACCTATGTAAACATGAAAAATAACAATAAAACTTATTGTTGCCTTAAAAAATTCATGAAATTAAAACACAGTGAATATGCTCAAAACATCAAAATAGTGAAAATAAATGAGTTCATAAAATGCAACACACTGACTGATATTATCCTGCTGAAAACACTGAATGATTATCAGATTTAATACTAACTAATATTTCCCAAAACCTGAAAGCAGTAATTACACTAATAAGGAACTTATAACTACAAATTGTAATAAAATAGAGTATACTCACCGAAACCATGGTTTGAAAACTGGAATGAAAAGTTGAAATGATTAGTAACACTGCAATTGTTGCTAGCATGCAGTTTTGTTCACAATAACCTTGTAACAAATTAACCCCGCCTAATTTCACACCCTATACGAAATAAATGTATACGTATACACATAAAATGGCACCAATAAACATGGCATGTTGCGCAATTTTCAAGGATTTACATAATATTACAAGCCAGCAGGCATTTACTGGTACTTACAAGAGCACAATAAAATTTAGAATTCCCCAGAAGAGATCCGGTATGGCAGAGATCCGCCATGGTGACTGCGAATCCAAAACGTGACCTATAAAAAAAAACACATGTAAACTATGTTCAATCATTATGCTTGGATGAGAGGGACAATTACAAGTTCCCTGAATAAGTAGAGACCTCACAATTGACTCTTAATTATTACACACTGTAAAATGTTAAAATATTCTGTAAATGGGCTAATTATTCACTAGGTTTTTATTTTCACTTGTTTCATTGATGTGTTGAAATTGAAACCTTTTCAAATTTAATAATAGAACAGAATGTATGGTTTCATTCACAAACACAGTGAATGTGCCCACGTTACTCAATATGCTAAACTTGAACTTAGTGAATACTTCTCCTTCGATGTTACAGAACGGAGCTCTTTTAAAGGGTG